TATATAAGCATTGTAAAATAATTAATTTTAGCTTAATTATATTTATATTCTTTATATTTTAACAAATTTTTTTATTTTAGTCCCTTTATATTTTTTTTTCTAATTTTTTTTACAAATTTTTATTTTAGTCCTTACTTTTTTACAATTTTTTTATTTTTAGTCCTTATTATTAATTTGGTCTTATTAAACCTCGTCAAATAAAAATACTTAAAATAATAAATTATTAAAATATAGAGGTCAAAACCAAAAAAAGTAAAAATTAGAAGGACTAAAATTTAAAATTAACTAAAATGTAAGAATTAAAAATATATTTAAGCCATTAATTTTTAAATATTTGTTAAAATAACCTTTAAAGGAAGTTGAATTAATTAATATAAAAGACTAAATTTAAATTGTCTTTTGTATAATTTTTATCACATGTCAATAATAAAGTTATTTGAAATAAATATCGAGATCTACTCTAACTCAAAAATACAAAGTACTCACGCTATAATATGAACGAATATTAAAGATTTAACATTCAAATGCGGGCATAGTGATATATGGCTTCAAGCTTCTCTATTTTCAAGATTTAAATTTTTATAATTTTTTAATTAATAACTCTTCTATATACTATACAAATATTATAAAATTAAATTATTTAAAATAATTGTCAATATATGTTTTAAATTGATATCATCAAGCTTTTTGTGATAGAATTATCGCAATCTTTTATCATACATTTATTTTTATTAAATAAATATTATATCCATTATCAGTATTAGATTTAGATGAATTTATTTACTACTCATCATCTTTTATGACTTTTGAACTACCTCCTTTGTTATAAAATTTTTTATTGTTTGCCTTGAAGAGAATAGTTTGCCTTTCTTCTTTTCACTTCTTCAATTTATGTATAGCTCATGAATTCTAAGAGAACTAAGAAGTGTGTTTAAAAATTTATTGAGTTTAATCTCTTACTTCCTGATATGGTAGTAATTTTTTTTTATACTCTTATTAAGGTGGAAGATTCTTTCTACAACTTTTATATTGTTTTCTTCAACACTACTATTTTTCAAGAGCTCTCATATCATTGAGTATGGTCTAAAATTTTTCTATCATTTCTTTAATAGTTTTCTTCATTCTATGTTAATGATTCATCTTAATGAACAAGTATGTTGAACTTTGTTTATTTAACATTTTTGGTTCTTTTATGTTTTAGTATAAAGTGTCCTACATTTCTTTGATTATTTATCGCTAAAGACTATACATGATGAACATTTTTATTCTATCTCTTTAGAATGAATAATTATCACCAACAGACCTTGAAAGTCTTGAAACAAATCTTCATTCAGATATTTGTTTTTAAAATGTTTTCAAACTTGTTCAAGCTTTTTGTTAAGATAAAAGTACTTTTAATTTTTTATTTTTTTCTTGTATTCTTTCTATTTTAGTGCTTTATTTAAATGAAGAGTAGAAATATGCTTTTCTCTTTTTTAAATGAATGTAATTTTAGAGTCAATTGCTTAAGTAAGAATTTTTCTATCATGATATTCTTAATGTTTGTACATATATATTTTGTTTTCTTAAAATGGTCTATTTTTTTTTATCGGTTGGTTAAATAAATCTTTTACATATTATACTAAGACACTTAAATATACCGTTAGATAAAACAATATACCTTAAACAAAAAAAAATCATATCAAAATAGACCCTTTGATAATATTAAATTTTAGATAACTATAAATATCTAATTTATGTAGAATTTAAATTACATAATTATTAAGATAATATTATATGCTTTAACAGTTAAAGTTCACATTTAATAAAAAATATTAAGGTATGAAAGTCTACATATTATATATATACACTAAAGTTTTTAATTAACATACTCTATTTAAAAAATTTTATAAAATTTATTAATCTAATTATTAATTTAAAAATTTTCAATAAGTATATTAAATCTACAATTTTATTTTAATTTACAATATACATTTGAAATATAGAAGTAGTTTCAAACTACTCTCTAAATTGAAACAGATTCCCTCGAAGCAAGTATAAGCATTCAAGGTGTTATTGATGCTTCACATCCTTTGTCTCATGTAATTTGTCAAATTATATTAGATTGAGTCATATATTTGGGAAAGTTAATCAATGTACTGACAGTTCAATTAAGCTTTGCCTAAATCTTTCTTCTTCCTTAGTTAATTTTCATCAGGCCCCTAATATGCTGCTTCCTTATTTGTATTTGAACTTTTGTGGTATTTGGACTCCTAGGTCTAGTCCCTAGTTGTGTTTGTGTTCTGGGCTTTTAGCCCCTATTAATAGCAAAAAAAATAAAAAAAAGTATTAGTTATAAAATTTAACAATCATAGAAAATGAAATGTATTGTCCTGAAATATTAATTGTCAGGAAATTAAAAATTTCACTTTGTAGAATAAGGAAAGAGACGGGTGATTATATTATACTCTTGGGTACTTCAACATATTTTTAAGTATAAAGCTGTAAATTTAAAAAATCTCAAATATACGAGGATAAAGATCTCTAAGAAACTTTTTAAATACACGTTCTATCATTATCTAAAATTTATTAAAAAAATTATAAAATTACTAGTAAAAAATGAATTTAATAATTAGTAAGAGTCATAAATTTTAGTTAATATTAAAAAGTATATTACCTATGTATTTAATGGCTGTTCTATTTTCTGACTTTTAAAGTTTATACCAAATAAGTGGATTTTAAATCAATCTTACATACATGAGTTTAAATATTACTTACATCCTATCCTAACCTAAAACAATTCAACCACACATAGTTTCATAAATCATAACACAATTGACATAAACGAAATAGAGAATTGTTATAAAAACTTGGATAGACACAAGAAAATCTTCCAAATATCTAGGAATTAATAGAAAGAATTGAGAGAAAAATAGAAAAGAATCCTAAATTAAAACTTTAAGAAGTAAAAAAAATGAATAATAAAAAAAAACTCATAACATCTATTTATAGGTTCTAAAGTGTTGGAATGAGTGTTAGAACGCAAATTTTTACTCAACATATTTACAGTTAATTTTAGTGTTGGAATTGTTAGAACTAACATCGGAATGTACATAAATCTTCTGCTACTTGAGTTTTGAGTGTTGAAAGTTCTATTCTAGGTGTTGAAACACTTAAAATCATGAAACACTTTATTAGTTCTTCTTGTGAGTGAATGTTGAATGCTCACTCATTTCTCCTTTTCAACTTTATTATTAAGAATTGGAGAGTTGGAATGCTCAACTAACACTAGAACACTCAACTTCAATTTTTCAGCTTTCGAATTTTGTACCTTTTAATTTTTTTAACAATTTTTTCATTCTAAATTATTTTCAATATTTTTTTAAAGCAATTAGACTTTTATTTTCTGAATTTTAGTTCCAAAACTATATTAAAAAATTCATAAATTCAACCAAAGTATTTACTTTGAAGGGAATTGATTTTTTAATCATTAAGAAGAAATTGAATTATTACGCATTATTTCTATATATTTTTAATCATTTTTTTCTGACAAAGATTTAAATCTACTATAATTATAGATTTATCAGTTAGATATTGCTTGACAGAGATTTAAAGAAATATAAAAATTAAAATTTTAAAATATAAAAATAATTCAAAATTGCAATAAATTAGAAAACATTCAAAAATATATTTAAATTGTGCTTGAATTACATCCGTATATTGAAGTTATTTGAGATTGGAATTTACCGGCAAACCAATCATATTTTAAAAGCGTCCGTTTGATTTAAGGTTTATTGTATAACTAATTATAATAAAATTAATTTTGGACCATTGAATGTGCTTGAGATATATGTATAAATCTGAATCAAACATTTTTATTAAATTCGATAATTTTTATTAAAAAATATAGAAATTAATTTTTCAAATTTTTAAAATAAACCCCTAAAAAAGGTACATTAACATTATTTGGTGAACAGTGAGAAATTGATATAAAAGAAAAGAACACAAAGAAAAGCATTTTAATTTGAATATATTTTATTTAAAAAAAAGGACTAAACAAAAATGAAGCAAAGTGAACATTAAGACATACCACTAGTTTAATCTAAATAAAAATCTGTCCTTAAAATGAAATAGCGTCTAAATAAATCTGTTATATGTGATAATAAGGATTTAAAAGTTTATATTCATTAGAAACCTAGTCATTTATAAATACATATTTTGAATTGTATTTTATTTTGTACCAAATGTTAGGAGAGAGGACAAGCTCTTCATTTCAACGGCAATACAGAAGCTGAGTTAAAGTAATATTTAATAGACATAATAGAATGGAAAGGAAACATAACATATAAAGTTCTACACATGCATTATGTATATGCTTTATTCATTTTGAAATACAACTACAAGGAACAAAATAGAACAAAGGGTCAAAATTAATAAAACTAACCTTCTATTTTATTACACCGTGTGACAAATGCTAAGGAAGGCACTTTTCTTTTATATGTTTGGCTCACTTTCTTTCCTTTCCCCACTTTATTCCTAAATAATTAATGAAGAACTACTTAAATTAATGGGTCAATATAGACACAAACCGTTGCTTAAGGTGAGAGAGAACCTAGTTTGGATTCAACTACCACAAATAAACTAGTTATAAATACATAGCTGTGTGATATCCAAGCATATATAGACTAGTTAGTGGGACAGATTATTACAGTTATCGTTGGCTATATATGTTGTTGTACAGTGTTCGGTATTATTATAAAGGTTGTGTCATAGTCATTCTTTTTCATCTTGTAGCCCCATTTATTGCACTTGTCTTTTGCTTTCTTTTCCACTCTCTCACTTGAAATGCTCTTTTTCTCCCTATACTCTCTCAGTGTTGCTTATCATTTGTCATTGTATTTGCGGGTTTCACTCATCTTGTCCTGCAACTAACTAGGGTTTTCCGATTTCTCTTCTGAACTCTCACATCCAATAGTGAATTCTCAAGACTTCTATCCGGGTGCTAGCAGACTTCTTTTTCAGTGGCATTATTAAAGAATAGATCTTGAAAGAGCCTTCTGCAAGAGGAAAAAAAAATAAAGGTATTGATCTAAATTACCATATCGTTTGTTCAATTAAACCTAGCTATACAAGGTATAGTTTTTATTCCAATTTTCTGTTTTTATTTTCTCTTCTTTTTATTGGTGTTTGCCGAATAAGTTTATGTTCTAAGGTATGATTCCCGGTTTTGTTTCTAGAAATTTTTTGAAGAAACGAAATTCTGGGTGAATGATATATCATCCAACTGAAAGAGAAATTGAGAAAACTTCCACAAGCCATATGTACCAATAAACTGAAAAGATCTCTGGTAGGTGTACCTTCTTTTATCCCTCCAACTGAAATTCACAGAAGGCTAGACCTAAGGGGTACTGGAGAGGAGGAGAGACAGAGAGAGAATTTTAGGGAAGAAATTTCTGAGTCTTAGATGAAGAAAGCAAACATATATAGTACAGTCATCGATAAAAATGTCTTTTCATAAAAATATTTATTTTATTTTATTTTCTACCTCGTCCTTCGTCCCTGAGAGGAAAATGAAATTGAGAAAAGGGTTCTGGGTAGTAGTCAGAAAATCTATAAATAGAGGCGCTTTAGTTTTTTTGTTATTCCACTAATTGAATAGTGGCACTTTGATTCAACATAAAGACGGCTTAGGGATAAAAAAGTAAGAGAAGTTTGAACAGTAGTAGAAAATGTTGTTACCAAAAAAGGAAGTAGCAGATGTGCTTTAAACAAGTCTCCCTAACCCTAGTTTTATACGTGCTCAAGGAAGTGTAGAGATTAAATTCAAATTCTATAACTGTACAGTTAATTAAGCTGACGTTATTTTAAAATAATTTTCAAGAAATGGATATCTAAGTCGTTTGGTGGTTTTCTTTATAGTTAGTTTTATTTACTCCCAATTGAAAATTATATTTATGAGGCAGATAATATTTATATGATAGTCTGTTTTACAAGAGTCAGAATATAATCAATTATATTGTACTGTATTTTAATTTACCTGTTTCCTTAAATGTTTTGTACTCATGGATTAGATCATTCCTACTCTTTAATGAATTTCCCTGTTGCTGATAAAGAAAAAAGGACTATGATTATTAATTATAAGATTTAAAGTTTGAGAGTTTGTAATAAAAATAGTTGTTGTGTTTGATTCTTAATTTATAATTATTGCAGTACTACTGAAGACCATGGCCTCTTCTAGCTACTCTAACTCTCCCTGTGCTGCCTGCAAGTTTTTGAGAAGGAAATGCATGCCGGATTGCATTTTTGCCCCATATTTCCCACCAGAAGAGCCTCAAAAGTTTGCAAATGTTCACAAGATATTTGGTGCAAGCAACGTGAGTAAACTACTCAATGAAGTCCAACCCCACCAAAGGGAGGATGCAGTGAACTCTCTGGCCTATGAAGCCGAGGCACGGATAAAAGATCCTGTTTATGGCTGTGTTGGGGCCATTTCAGTACTCCAAAGGCAAGTGATTAGGCTTCAGAAGGAATTAGATGCCACAAATGCTGATTTGATCCGCTATACCTGCAATGATATGCCAACTCAAGACGGGAGAAGGATGGGTGAAGGGGGAGGTTCGTCTCTTGGTCAATCGCCTGGTTACTATTATCCTTCTCCTTGGAACAATGATCCACTTGGGGATGGTTATCACAGAGGTGACAATAATATGTGATTTTCAACCCTCTTAATTACTCCATCTATTATGAATTTCCTATTAGTTAACGGATTATCCTTTTAGGGTTTCTTATTGTATAGTATTTAAGATCAAGGGGTGAGTATGTATAGTCATAGATATATAATATATGTCTGGTTCTATAGGCATATGAATAAAATGTTGTATGCTATTGTGAGAGTGCCCTTCATATTTCATAAAATGTGTCTCTTATGATAATGTAACTAATGAATTTCTCTCAGCAGACTCAGAAATGAAAACATCGAATATTCATAATAAAACTCAATTGTCTCATGATTTATCATTAATTAGCTAGGGAAACAATTTTATATTCTTTTTCAATATAATCTTAATATTGCACTCCTTTTTTTGTATTGATAATTTATTATATGTCACCGACATGCATATAATAAGTCAATTTTACCAATATTAAATCAATATCTAGGGAAATAGAAATTATCAAAATTATATATATTTCTTTTGATAAGCAAAAAGAAATTTAATTTCGGGAATACAAAGAGAATTCTAACCCAACATTAAGTACAATTCATAATATAGCTAGCTTAGTGTAACGGGGTTAAACACTAACTTGAAAAGATGCATTTTCACCTAAAATACTCTAAACGAAGTCAAGAACAAATCTCACCTTAATAAGATCAATATATAATGGAACTATATTGAGTTTCTCCTACCTAAAAGTGACATCAATATGTTTTTAATTTACAAAAATCATCACATTGAACAATCTTTATATTATAAAAGCTATATATACTAACAATATAATATTTACCGGATAACATCCAAATAGAAAAACTATATTATAGAAATGATTTTGTATTTTCGAATTAGGTTCCAATTTTCATACATATAATATGCTCAGCTTTGAGGCCACTAAACGCCCACAACATTTTCTTTTTCTGTTGACCAGAAATTGCTAACTCAACAGAATCGTATATTGGTTTTTTTTTTTTTTTCTAACAAATTGATTGGTTATTTTGATCTTCCAATAAGAATAATGTATAGCACTAGTTGGAACCTACCTTTTTGAGCACCAAGTTCCTCTACATGCCATGATCTCAAAATGGCCTTCGCGAAACATTCAGCTACACAAACATATGTTATGGGGGTTGCCTATGATGTCCAATTACCTATTTATAATGGTTGTGTATACATAGCCTAATAGCATGCAATTCAAATCACCATAAAGGAGAAGACAAATACCTCCTATCCCGCTGTGCTTCACTTTTTCAATCTTTATAGTTACAAGCATTAATGTGAACAAACGGAAGAGGGGGTGTGGCATTTTTTTCAGCGTATAATTCTCCAACACCCTTTACTGCTACTTTCTCCTTCATAATATGGTATCTGCTGGTCAAACAAGGACTGTAACTGTTTACTTGTTGACTTTGTGTACATTTTTTATTATGTGTTTTTTTAAATTTTCAAAAAAGGAATATATTATTTGTGATGTTTCCGTGATTGCATTTCCATGTCCTCTCTTCATTACAACATTATCATTATGATGAGTATCAAGCATAAGTGGTACTGGTACTGATGCCTAGGGATAGAGGATTCACACGAAAGAGATAGTTCTGTTCAATGGCATGTGATAAGAGTACATTGAACCTTTTTAGACAAGTAATGTGCATGGTGCGGATATAACGGGGCATTTTCTTCGCCCCCATCACTCGCGCTGAGCCATGTGAATATTATGAGTCTTTGCTCACTCCTCTGGATGACACAATAACCCTTTTCACTCATCTGCTACCTAATCTATATAATCTCATTTCTGTTTTAACAATTAATGTTCCTTCAACAATTGTTGCTGTTACACTTGTCCACATTTATGCCCACAACCCCATTTGAGTTCCATCAATAAGCATAACTAAGTGATCAGTTCAGGTTATGGGTAGCAGAAACTTTATATTTATCACATGGAGGTAGCTTTACCTCCACAATATAATGAATATATATCCCTGTCATTATAATAACATCACCTGATATTAAGCTATATATGCATTAATACAGAGAGAAATCTAATTTGCACAACACATGCATATATGCAAATAAGAGGAAAAAAATGTAGTATAAGATGGAGAAAGTAATAGAGATAAGGAAAATGTGAATTATAAAAGGATATTTTAAAAAATATATATGAGAATAACATAACTCTAATATAAATACAAAAGATAAAAAAATAGTGAAGAGGTTTACTTTCCCTTTCATCGATCGGTTTCTTGGTGCCTTTCTCTTGTTCTAATTAAATTGCTACAATCGCCTTTATACTGCTTTGTGGTCAATTTTGCTTTAAGTGTGTATGCAACCTTAAATTGTTAGGATTAATATGTTCGGACATGTATTAATTCCTCTATGATTTAGTCAAAAGTAGATCATCAAAGCTGAAATGAAAGAATTGAAAAATCCTTATAGTATTTTATGAAGTTCAGTAAAATTAAATGTTGAACTTGTAATTAGACCCCAAACAAAGCACGGATTGGCAGGTACTACTATATTATTAATTAGATCAAGCTCACTTACATCACATATATATTTACTTCATCTATTGATAAACGACCTAATGTATATTTAAACTTAAAATGAATTTCATGCAAAAAGTCTCTTAAAAACTATTTAAAATAAATAATTTATTAAATTATTATAATTATTTTTATTTGATATTTCATTTTTAGTCGTCAATGAAGGTAATCAATTTAGTACTTACTGAAACATGATTAATCTATGCTAAGATTTTAATAATTTTATTTAAAAAATAAAAGAATATGTTGAAATAAGTCTTAAAATTTTTACGTTTTTATTTAAAAAGTAAATGTATAGTAACAGAAAAGTACCAAGTCTTTTAGATAATAATATGAGAATCACTATATTATTTTTCATTTGTATATATTTTTTAAAAGAAGTAATTTTAAAATTAAATATAATCCATCCGTGGATTTGTTCTATTCCAACATTTATAGTATTAGATAATAAAAAATATTTTTTAATTCAGATTAATATTTTTAAAATTTACCAAAAAAATATAAAAGAGGTACATTCCAATTGATAGAAAGAATAGCTTTTAGGAGAGAGAAAAAAGTAAAATGAGACCTCGTTTGCTAAAAGAAAGATGTTTATTTTAGTATTATTTGTGATCTTAATTGTGATGCTAGGAGAATATTAATAGTTTTTGAAATGTTAATTTAAATATATTATAAATAATTTTTAACTCACACTGTGAATGAAAAAACTGTCTCTTTAAATATTTAATATGACTCAAAAAACTCTTATCAATATGATAGTATAAAAATAATTATCTTCTAAAAATTTTATTGCTTATATGCTAATCAGTAAATCTTTCTCTCAATTGAGAAATTAACTGTTAATGAGATTTTTAGATAAATATATTTTGTTGATTTTAAGGTTGGTTTCATCCTTCCTCGGTTAATCAAATAAAAATATTGGAGGGATTTACTCGTTAACAATAACTTACTCTACTTAATAATTATCTATTAGATATATTTTTTAAAAAATAAATTTTAAATTATATTATATTGTTTAAATAGTTAAATACATTAAATTTTAGAAAGTTAAATGTTTACAGAATCTATTAAAATAAATTTATTAGATAAAAATATTATTTATTTTAAAGTTATATGAACATTTATGTATTTAATTTTTTTTAATTTAACAACTAAATTTAACATCTACAAAAGTCATAACATATAATTAACAATAAAGAGATCTCCAAACTAAAAATATATATTATATTGTACTTATAAATTTAAAATAAATGTTTTAAATTAAAAACGAGGGTATATTATTTTGATTATTTTAAATTAACAAATTAAAAAAAATTATTATATTAAGTAGAAAATAGTGAGAACTTATTTTAAAAATTTTAAAATAATGACATAGATTGAAAATTCAAGTTTAAATTAATAATAAGTTAAAAATGAAATATAAAATAAATCACATGATATAATAAAAAAGTAAATCTTAAAAATACTTTTATTTAAAAATAAGACTCACATTTAACATCTGGTTAGGAATGTTTTAGACTAAAAATTGTGATCTTTCTTTTGTTTCTTAAAAAATGATTCACGACAACTTTTAGTATGAATTAAAGAGAAAGCGGAAAATGCATACTCAAAACCTTTTAGTTTTGCACATATCTCCAAGATGCGTTGATTTAAACTGGGGAGCAAAGAAGAGAAAGTTAAGCTTTATGCATGCCTTAGAATTCGCCTTTGATGGATTATACTTGTCCTTTCTCTTCAACCCATTCTTCCCCACCACAAATTGACCCAATAAGAACTATGATGACAATGTGCTCCTGTCTCATTTACTTCCTTTGGCTACTCTCTCACATCATTAATATAATAATATTACTATTTTTTCTTTCACAAAAACATTTTAGCACTGATAGTGTCATCTCAAATGTTTTTCTATCAGCCAAGAAGGTTACGCATTTGTCGTTAGGGGTTTCATTTTGATGCTGAAGTTTCGCCTCTGTTTCTATACATTTCAAGTATAATTGGCGGGGAGAGAAAAATGGTGACCAGAGAACTAAAGTATAGGCAACATATTGACATGGAAAAGATACCAAATGTTTCTCTTTGTCATGCAAAACTGAGCACGCGTACTGATCAGTATTTCCATAATAGGTTCATTTAGTACGTGTACCATTAAGGTGAGGTACTCACCTTCTTAAAGAGTTTTTTTTATATTAAAACAGGTTCTTTTCGAATTAATTTCATTTATTAAACTATTAAATATAATACAACAACATTTTATCAGGTTTAAATATTTTTTCATTTTGGAAAATTTATTTCTTTAATGATCCCTTCATTACAGTGAAACGCATCCTTTAAACTCCAACCATTGGATATGCTTCGACAGGTGAGATAAATGAATTATTGGCATGAGATGAGAGATAACTTGATTATGCTACTTTATCACTTAACAACATAAAAAAACATATGGAAAGGCTTAGAAAAATGTAT